GCACAGCTCCTCACAGGTGCTGGCGACCACCACTCTTTCTTTCTCTGTGAATTTGACTACTCTAGGCACCTTGTAAGTAAAGTCATATAATATTTACCCTTTTTTGATCGCCTTATTCCACTTACCATGACATCTTCAAAGTTACCATGTTGTAGCATGTCTCCGACTTTTCTTCCTTTTTCAGGGTAAATATATACACCAAACTTTGTGTATTCGTCTATCTGTAGACAGTCTCCATAGACATGTAGGCTGCTGCTACCCCTTGGCTACTGTGAGTAACGTTGCTATGAATATGAACGTTCAAGTATCTGTGCTAGTCCCTGCTTGCCATTCTGGGGCTATACAGCCAGAAGTGGAATTGCTGGAGCCTGTGGCAGTTCTGTGTTCCGTGTTTTGAGGAACCTCCATGCTGTTTTCCACAACAACTACGCTGTTTTGCAATTTCACCAGCAATGCACAAGGGTTCCATTTTTTTCCACATCCCTGCAATACTTGTTATGTTCTGGTTTGTTTCTTCTGAGGCAAGACTCCTTTCTTCCCCTTCCTGAGAGCAGGGACCAGCTCAGATGTCCCGTGGGCAGCAGCTTTGTGTCACAAGAAGCGCCCTGGACTTGACATCACAGGCTCAGACCCCAGTACTGATGTCACTCAAAGGCGAGGCAATCCGGGTACGTGCTCACTATTTGCCTGAATTCTCCTGGACAGAGACACAAAACTGCATCTGCAAAATCAGTATGTTAATGAGGAGTCCTGTCACCCTCAAGGTGGAGCAAAGGAGGTCAAATCACAGAAGGCACGAACAGCTTGGCAACGTGCTAGGTGCAGTGTTAGATGTTGTCATTCACAAAGCGTCACCTCCCTGACCACAGGTTCTTGGAGTCTCATATTTTGCCCTACCTAGAACCAGCTCCTTGAGCCCCTGTGAGGAGGCTGGTCTGGGCTGGAAGTCACAACCCCAGGAAGCCTGTAGTGGGTGCTGAGGGTAGGTTTGTGGTCACAGAGGAGCCCCGGGACATAGACTTTTAGAGGGCACTGCCTGCCTGAGCCTCCAACCTATATTAGCTGTGTGGAGGGACAGCCCCAAGAGGGAGTGCAATTACTCTGCTGAGGAACCCACAGGAGCAATGCCTGCTAGTCCTCAGCCTCAAGTGACACATTCAGACACCAAACACTGCTTTGATACTGACATAATTCTCACCAAGATGAATCCTGGCTGGCCTTACCTCTATTGTGAGACACAGATCAATCCCTGACACAGAGAAGGCTTGAGTTGGCAAATGGACTGTACCCTCACCATGCCTTGTGAAGGGGACCATTTCTGAGCCTCTCTGTGCTCATCTTAACACTTCTCACAGAGTCAAGTACATAACCATAGCTTAATAATACTGGTTTGTTGGACCCATGGATGAATGGACGGGTGGTGAGGAAAGTGTCTCCCTTACAGACTATCAACAGTCTTAGGGATTTGCCCCCCGCTTTGAGTGGCAGGAGAGAGGGATGTGAAGATGATGAATGTGAAGGTGGTACAGTGTCCTGCCCCAGAGGGACACCTTCTCCTGTCCTGCCCACATTGCTGGAATACAGACCTCAGGAGAAACTTATTAACCGTACGTTATTTAAATGAATTTGCCTGGAGTCCTCTAGTTATGTCTATTCTACTCAGAAGTCTGAGAAGGCTCCCACTTTCCTAATCTGCACCCCAAAACTGCCTCAGTCAGAACAGGGTCCTGATTGCCTTCTGATCAGCCAGACATTAACCCTTTCGATAGCAAGTCAGGGGGTCAGACCAGGAACCAGGGAAAGTGATTGGGGCACTCAAGGAGTTCAGAGCAGGGAGTGTTTAGCAATCAGCATAAAATTATTTCAGCATTTTCATAACATGTTGGGCTAAACTGTTGCAAAGGGGTTGAAGGCGAGCATCTGGAAATTCCCACCTTTACCTGAAGGTCTCAAGAATGCTCCATTCAGGCCATAGCTCTATAGCTGCTCAGCTGCACACATCTCTGGCATGCAGAGACATCTCTGCCTACATCCAGAACCCTGTCCCCTTCCTGGTACAGGATCCCCTGGCTCCCTAGAGTGTATGAAAGATGAGGGTGGTTTCAGGAGAGGAGCACTGGGCTGAACAAAAGCTGAGAGGAGGTTCAAGTCTGTGCCCTGGGTTGGAATGTGATGGTAAATAGGGCATTCATGCCCCCGATGCTGCTACTATCTCAGAGTAGGTCAGACCACCACCTCTTAGGAACCCATAATCATCTTCTTCCTCCTTCCCCAGCATTCATTCAGAGGCCAAACAGCTTGTCCTATAAGTCCTCAAACACAAAAGTTATCATCCCCCTCCCTTTTCCTGGAGAATAGGGCCACTGGCCCACTACCCTCTCTAGATATTATTTTATATGATATAATTATTAATATCAATATGGTTGGGTTTAAGTCTATCATCCTGCTATTTATTTTCTATTTGTCCCAGTTGTTCTTTATTCTTCTTTCTTTCTAATTTTTTTTCCTTTTTTCTGTTGCCTGGACTAGAATACCACAGCTTCTGCTTAGCTCACAGCAATCTCAAACTCCTGTGTTCAAGTGATCCTCTTGCCTCATCCTCCTGAGTAGCTGGGACTACAGATGTGTGCTACTATACCTAGCTAATTTTTTCTTTTAGTAGAGAAGGAGTCTCACTCCTGCTCAGGCTGGTCTGGAACTCCTGACCTAAAGCAATCCTCCTACTTTAGCCTCCTACGGTGCTAGGATTACAGGTGTGAGTCACTTTGCCTGAAAGTTTTTTTTTTGGTTGGTGATGTGTGTTTTTGAAAATTGAGGTGATTTCACAATAACATCAAATTAAACATGTTAAAGTGAATAATTCAGTGGCATTCAGTACACTCAATATTATATAACCACCACCTCTATTTAGTTTCAAAACATTTTTACCACCCCCAAAGGAATCCTCATTAAAGCAGTTGCTCCCCATTTTCCCTCCTACCTTGCTATCCCCAGCCCATAGCAACCAGCAATCTGTATTCTATCTCTATGGATTTACTTGTTCTGGATATTTTGTCTAAATGGAAACATACCACATGTGACCTTTTGTGTCTGGCTGCTTTCATTTAGCATAGTATTTTCAAGGTTTGTCCACATTGTAACATGTATCAGTACTTCATTACTTTTTATGGTTGAATAATATTTCATTGTATGAAAACATCACAATTGGTTCATCCACTTATCTGCTGATGAATATTTGGGTGAGTAGTGTTTCCATGAACATAGTATGCACATGTATTTGTTTGAGTCTCTGTTTTCAATTCTTTTGAATACATACCTAACATTGAATTGTTAGGTCATATAGTAATCCTATGATTAAGCTTTTCAGACTGTTGTCCACAGAGGCTGAAAGTTCCAGTTTCACTAACATTCATTATTGTCCTTCCCCCACCGCTAGTTATTGTCATCCTTGTGAGAGTAAAGTGTTATCTCATTATAGTTTTTATTTGCATTTACCTAATGACTAAGGATGATGAACATCTCTTCATATGCTCGTTTCTTATTTGTATATTGTGTTTAGAGAAAAGTCTATTCAACTTCTTTGCTCATTTAAAAAATTGAGGTATTTGTCTTTTTATTGTTGAATAGTTAAAGCTTTATTTTTAACATATTCTAAATTTTAGACCCTTATCAGATATATGATTTATAAGTATTTTCTCCCTTTCAGTATGTTGCTTTTTTGCTTTCCTGATGATGTCCTTTGATGCAGAAGTGTGTATTTTTCATTTTGATGAAGCCCAGTTTTGTCTTTTATTTTTGTTACTTATGCCTTTGATGTCTTATCTAAGAAACTACATATTTCAAAATCAAGATCATGAAGATTTATCCCTATGTTGTCTCCTAAGATACTATAGTTTTAGCGCTTATATATTTTTCAGATTAATATAAGGGTACATACAGTTTACATTGTTTGTGTTTGTTAGGTAAAGTCCAAGTTGCAGTTAAGCCCTTCACCCAGGAGGTGTGCCATATACCCCTATGTTGTACCTGATAGGTGACAGCTTACCATACTCCCTTTTTTCTCCCCCACTCCCTTCTTGAATTTAAATGTGTTTTTCTCTCATGTGAGTATGTAGTTATTCATATTAATATTGAACTGGGCTAGAGTACTCTTCTATAACAGCAGGAATAGACTAAGACCTCACTTAATACTATACCACTTAATGCATAATGTAAGGATTTCACAAGATATGTAAGGATGTTATATATTTCATTATCTTTTAACATATTTCTAAGTATCACAAGAATGGAAAAGCAAGCATCCAATGTACTCAATATTAATATGAAACTAGCCGATGAATAACTACATGCTCCATCTTTCTTTATGGCTGGATACTATTCCATGGTATACATACACCACAGTTTATTAATCCATTTGTGGGTGTGTGGGAACCTGGGTTGTTTTCATATCTTTGTGAACTGAGCTGCTATAAATACTTGAGTGCAAATGTCCTCAGCTCTTATATTTATGTTGTTGATACACTTTGAGTTATTTTTCATGTATGTTGTGAGGTAGAATCCAAATTTATTCTTCTGCATGTGGATATCTAGTTGTCTTAGCATGATTTATTGGGGAGACTACTCTTTCCCCATTGAATAAATGGTCTTGGCTACCTCTGCCTTTTTTTTTTTTTTTTGTATTTCATTTTATGTTTACTATTGGCTTATTGGCTATATCTTTGGGGTTTCTTTCTATTTATAGGTATTACAATACGTGTCATTAATTTTTCCTAGCCTACCTTTGCTATAGTTTGAGTGTGTGTATCCCTTCAAAATTCATGTTAACCCCAAGGTGATAGCAATAAGAGGTAGGAACTTTGGAAGGTGACTTGGGAGGGCAGAGACCTCAAGGATGGTTAGTACTCTTATAAAAGGGCTCAAGAGAGTGTTTCCATCTTTTTTTTTTCTCCCTTTCACCATGTGAAGACATAACACTTGTTTCTTCCCCTCTGGAGGATGAAGCAGCAAGGCATCTTCTTGGAGTTAGAAAGAGAGCTCTCATCAGCCAACATCTTGATCTTGGACTTTCCAGTCTCTAGAATTATGAGAAATGCATTTCTTTTATTTATAAATGACAAAGTCTAAAGTACTATTCTATAACAGCAGGAATGGACTAAGACCTCACTTAATACTATACCAGTTAATGCATAACGTAAGGATTTTACAAGATATGTAAGGATATTATATATTTCTGTTTTTCCCTTGTGTTATTATTGTTATAGATTTTATTCCACATATGTTATAAACCATGCAAGATATTGCTTTAGATGGTCCATTATTTTTTAAAGAAAATTTGAAAATGAGAAATGTTTACCCTTACATTTCCTATTTCTGGTGGTCTTCACTTCTATAGATCCAAGCTTCCATTTGGTATTGGGTTCCTTCTGCCTCAAGAATATCCTTTAATATTTCTTGTAGTGCTGATATTCTGGTTTAAAAAAGCTCTTTAAGTCTTTTTTTGTCTGAAAAAAAAAAACATTTATTTTACCTTCAATAGTGAAAGATTTTTTTGCTGAATGTAGAATTCTAGGTTGACAATGCTTTCCCTTTTTTTATTCATCACTTTCCATGCTAATCCATTAAGTTCTCATTTGTATTGTTTCTGAAGAAGTCTGTAATTATTTCTATCTTTGGTCCCCTGTATAGAGTGTGTCTTTTTTGCTTTTCCACTTGTAATTTTTTCTATTCATTACTGGTTTTGAGCACCCTGCTTGCTATGGTTAATTTTGTGTTTATCCTGCTTTGAGTTTGTTGAACTTCTTGGATCTGCATGCCTACAGTTTTCACTAAACTTAGAAGATTTTTGGCCATTATGTCTTCAAATCATTATGGTCAGTTCTTTTCTGAGACTCCAACTACATACATTTAACATGTGTATGTTAAATCCTTTGATGTCTACAGGTGATTGAGGCTCTGTTTCTGTTTTTTTTTTCTTTCTTTCCTTTAGTATGGGCAATTTTTATTGCTATGTCTTCAACATCACAGATATGTCTTTTTACAATGTCCAGTGTGCTCATGGGTTGTTTGTTTTAGGTGCTGCATTTTTAGCTCTAGGAGTTATATTTGGTTCTTTTTTTATATCTTCCATTTTCCTCCTTACCATGTTCATGTTTTCTTTAAATCTTTGTGAATATTTTAAATTCCTTTTAAGTCCTTGCCTGCTAATTCCATTACCTCTATCCTGTTTGGGTTTGTTTCTATTGACTGATTTTTCTCCTGATTTAGGGTTATACTTCCCCACTTATTCAAATGTCTAGTAATTTTAACATGCTAAATTTTATGTTGTTAAACGTCTGTATTTTATTCTTGTCCTTTAAGAAATGATGAAATTTGTTTGGGCTGGCAGTGATGGATAGACTTGTTCTTTTTTTTTTTTTTTTTTTTGAGACGGAGCCTCAAGCTGTTCCCCTGGGTAGAGTGCTGTGGCATCACAGCTCACAGCAACCTCCAACTCCTAGGCTCAAGCGAGTCTCCTGCCTCAGCCTCCCGCCACAACGCCCAGCTATTTTTTGGTTGCAGCCGTCATTGTTGTTTGGTAGTCCGGGCTGGATTCAAACCCGCCACCTTAGGTGTATGTGGCTGGTGTCTTAGCCACTTGAGCCACAGGCGCCAAGCCAACTTGTTCTTTTTGAGATTCCTTTCTTTGTTTCTTTCTTTCTCTCTCTCTCTTAGATATTATGGTTTTAGCTCTTATATATTTTTCAGATTAATATAAGGGTACATACAATCAGTTTACATTGTTTGTGTTTGTTAGGTAAAGTCCAAGTTGCAGTTAAGCCCTTCTCTCTTTCTTTCTCTCCTTCTTTCTTTCTTTTGACAGAGTCTCACTCTATTGCCCTGGGTAGAATGCTGTAGTGTCATTGTAGCTCACAGCAACCTCAAACTCTTGGGTTTGAGCAATCCTCTTGCTACAGCCTCCCCCAGAGCAGGGACTGTAGGCACCCAGCTAGTTTTTCTATTTTTAGTAGAGATGGGTCTTGCCACTCTTGCTCAAGCTGGTCTCAAACTCCTGAGCTCAGGCAATCCACTCGCCTGGGTCTCCCACAGTGTAGGATTGCAGGCGTGAGTCACCATGCCGGGCTTGAGGCTTGTGTCTAAGGCTTGCTGGGGGATGTCTAGAGTAACCTCTACACCAGGGTTAATTTATCTCTTATGGGGCTTCCACTGAAGTCAACGAGGTCTCTTCACCTTGGTCGGTTGAAACTCAAACATCTGTGTGAACCTTGAGAACCAATAAGCTCATAGCTCCCTAGTAGTTCTTTGCCTAGCATTGTGAGGTTTTACCCTACATATGAAACCTGGTATTCAGCAACAGATCCAAAAGGATCCCAGAAACATTTCTGTTGCTATACTCCCTCCTCTCTGATACTCTGCCTTGAAGTCTCCCCAACTATGTCCTCAACTCAGCAAGACCCCTATGCTTGGTTTCTACCTCACTGTGCTACAATTCAGCAAGTACTTCCAGCAGAAAGGCAGGGTGATAGTAGGGTTTGCCCCATTTGCTCTCTTTCAAGCATCACAATTCTATGCATGTGATGTTCAATAGCTGAAAAAAGTGACCTCATACATTTGTGAGATTTGTGCAATTTTTGAGGTGCCTACATACTAGAAAGGCAAATCTAGTGCAGTTACTGGATATGGTAGAAGTAAAAATTTCTACTTTCCCCACATGAAGCACATTCAATATAGTGAAGTGCTTCTCCAATCCTTTCTCAGGAGGCTGGGTTGCAATCAACAGGAGCTGTCCAAGCTTGATTAAACAGAAAAGGAATCTTAAAAAGATCATGGGTGGCTCACAGGATTGGGGGTGGGGGGCGGTGAAAGCTAGAGGAACTTCTCAAGACAGGAACAGTGCCCAGTGCATGGGTCAGGAACTGTTCCCATGAGAAAACCACTTCTGGTATCATTGCTGCCACCAAATTCTAGAAACCCCGTGTGTACGGCTGTCACTTCTGAACCAGGAACTCAATTATACCACACCACCGCCATTGCCTGCCCTGATGTGTCACTTCCTGTGTCAGGAACTAAACTGTGTACCCCCCACTAAAGCTGCAACCCCAGAGAGAATGGGCCCTATATTTAACTCTAGTTTCACTAGCTCTTTAGTCTGACAAAAAAAGCACTAGTCTGTAATTTCCAGCTTCTGTGAGAGATACTCTTCTCTTTCTACAGAGACTCACAGAGTAGCAAATTCTCCAAATTCAAAATGTGGTTCTGACGGTTAGTGGCCAAAACATCCACTATGAAGGAACAACTATAAGTGAGTCTCGAATGGTTTTCTGCCACTGCTGGTCCTAGAAGCAAAGAATAAAATCACTAATTGCCTTACAGAAAGTTGTAATGCAGCAACCTCTGGATCTCATGGGAGGGGACCACTCCCAGATCATGAGTCTTCCAAACCAGCAACTCTAATGAGGTGCCCTTTCCTATAGTTCAGCAATGGGTGGCAATGCCATCAGTCACAATCACTGGTCTCCTGACCTTAGGTTGCAGCAGAAAACAGTTAGAAATGAAAACAGCAAAACATTATTAAGGGTGCTTAAGCCAAAATTCTCAGAGGCTAGGGCATACTTCTGAGTTTGTGGCATGCAGTGAACTGGAAAAAAGGATCTGGATACATTCTAACTGGAAATGAAAACCCAGTGAGCCAATCTGATTGGATTTATTTATCATCCCATCCTGATCATTAGGGGGCAGTGACCTTTAAGAAATTGCTGCAATGTTTAAGCCATTAATCCCTTAGCTCAAAATATTGTGCAATGTGTATTACACCTGAGCCCGAAGAGAAAAGGGTGAAGATGGGGATTTTAGTGGCAGGGAGGAAAAGAGGGATAGGAATGGCATATAGCATGATGCTGTGTGGAAGGCCCTGTGGAGTCTGGGGGGCAGCAGAGCCCCAGGGGTGAAGAGGCTGCAGTCTGAAGGTTCTGGGCATGTGTAGCAGAAAAAAGAATAACAGAAAAGTAGGGTAGAGCCAGACTAAAGGAATGATAGCCATTTAACTTCCTTATCAATTATTTCTAAGAAGAAGGTTTATCGAAGGAGAAGAGTACAGGCCAAGAATTAGAGATTCAGAGTGAGAATGGACTCCTGTATTGACTAAAATTAGAACAACTTATGGATTTGACTCGAATCCTTCTCACCTCCCTGGCCCCCTGACATTCACTTCTCTCCTAAAATTTTTTATTTCCAGAGTAGCCTAGGGAAGGCTTAGAACTTTGACTGGTAAGCTACAGCCCAGACGTGATGGGTATTGCTGGTTGCCTTCCCACACTTGTGCCAAAGAATTTGGGTAGCGGGGAAACCCCAGTCTCTGTGAGGTGGGGCTGACAGGACCAATGAGGATAGTCCCAACCCCTGTCACAAACCCAGGACAACTGCCACCTGATGTTTTGGTGGCCACAATGATTGGTGTAGGGATGAACTAAGCCATCAGTACCCCACCTTTTTGGCACTGGTTTCATGGAAGACAATTTTTCCAGGGGGGTGGATCTGAAGTTGTCATTTTTCTACTCAAAAACTTTTGATAGCCCATCAATGGGGAACATGGGAAATAGCATGAGCTTCGAAGATGGAGCATTTTGAAACCTAGCTCTGCCACTCACCAGCTGCGTGACTTTGGCAAGTTTCTTAATCTCTTTGCATATCACCTATCTAAACAACAGTGATAATACTGTAATAGCCAGGATTCCTGTGCTGACCAGTGACAGAAAATGAACACCTACTCACTAGGCATAAATAGGGAAATTTCTTAACTCTAGTGACCAAGTGAAGACCAGTGGTGCAAGAGGCTCTCAGGGATACCTGGAATGAAGAGTTCACAAATGGTTGGTTTCCTCTCTGCCTCCTTTGGCAGGGGCATGGAGATGGGTGGGTGGTTACTCTCCATATTTGCTTCTCTTCACACTTTAGCTTCATTGTCTTGGATGGGCTGTTTTCGTGAATGGCTGAAATATGAATGGCTCACGTTGCCGCCTGTAGTTAGTAAAAGAGGAGAAACTCCTACTGAGAATCCCAAATTCCAACATCTTAGAAATGGGCTTTAATTGTCCCATCTTGAATCAGGTGCCCATCTAGGGCTAATCAACAGAGGTTAGGGGCAGGATGTATAAATCAGCAGCTTTCATCTAAACCACATCATAGATTAAATCAGGAAGAATATTTAGCCTAAGCAAATGGTGCTGTTCTGGACGGACAAACCAACAGATATTCTCTACAAATCTTAACTTGCATGGTTGTTTTGGGGATGAAATAAGGTGACCTTTATCAGTGGGCATCAAATACCCAGGGCAGTTCTGGGGACAGTATAATTTACAGTAAACAGCTGATGCTCTAGGCCAGGGGTCCTCAAATTTTTAAACAGGGGGCCGGTTCACTGTCCCTCAGACCGTTGGAGGGCCAGACTGCAGTCCCCGGGACAAGTCAGTTGCTAAGCAGGACAGGCAGCGGCGGCAAAAACACCCGGCAGACTGGATAAACGTCCTAGGCGGGTTGCATGTGGCCCGTGGGCCGTAGTTTGAGAACGCCTGCTCTAGGAGTTCTTGTTAATTCCCTTTTCACTGCCTCACTCCCAGAGCCTCTTCTTGCCTAGATAGTGCTGTCATCTACATTTGCTAAGTAGAAAATGGCTCCCCTCTCTGGGCAAATGCACCCACTGACACAGGATTTGACAGACAGATGTCATATGGTAAGAAAAAAAAATGCCCTTTCTTGGAAATGAACACAGCCTTGAGCTGGGGCCCGTGCCCTTGTAGTGTCTGGGCCAGATTTCTTGCTCAGTGCCCCGCCCCCACCCCAGCTGCGGAACTTGCCTTTGCTTGGTGCACAGACTGCCCAACCAGGGCAGGGCCCTACATTCTTCTTCATTTCACTTTAAGAAGCCACAGACTGGGTACAAGTCAAATCTATCAAGTATAGAACATAAATGTATTAACATGATAATAAAGTAAATGAGGCAAAAGCTATATTAATTAGTTTGACTTAAGCACTCCGAATTATATAAAAATCAACACATGGTCCCCCACAGATGCATAAATATATTCATGATCTATGTGCATATGACTTAATAAAAGGAAAAAAAAGCCATAGACTTCTGCATTTTATGGGTCCCAACTAAATATATGCCAGCTCCCCTGCACCACTAATCCTGCACACTTTGTCCACCTTAGGTGGCTCACCATTCCCAGAAAGTTGTGTCCTGTTTCTTCTTGCTTGGTGAAGGGCTCTTGGCTTTTCCCAGGCATACTTACCTCACTCCTATTAGCTTCTTAAGCTCCAGACCAATGACACAGCTGCAAATCCCCCCTCAGCACACCCAGAGCTCTTACTAACTATCCTCTGCACTTCCAGAAGCCAGTTCTTTATTCTCTAGCACAGAGTTGCTCATGGTCTAGAGCAGTGGTTCTCAACCTTCCTAATGCCTTTTGGGTCACCACAATATGAGGAACTGTATTAAAGGGTCACAGCATTAGGAAGGTTGAGAACCCGTGTTCTAGAGTATTTACCTGTTTGCTCATCAGTTTCTTTGCTCATCAGTTCCTGCCCGCTTCCCTTTCACTGACCATGGCTTTCCAGCTCTTTATCCACCCCCTGCCTAGGAATTTAAAGCCTGGCATCTAATAGAGCGCAATAAATGCTTATTATTGAAATATGGGTGGAATCAATGAAGGGGAGTAGGAGTAAAGCTAAGTAGAAATTTCGCTATTTTTACATAGACCTGTCTCTTTCAACATTTGCAGTTAAAACAAAATGAGAGAAGCAAGCAGACAGCCTTTGAGACACTGAGAAACAAAGTTGCTTCCTGTCTCTCAAACCCCTGAAACTTGAGCATCTGGGGCATTATCTTCTTCACCCATGGGAAAGTGAGGCTTCTGTTGAAGGCTGTTTGGTGCGTTCAGTTAATGCACTCATAGGCCAACAAGGGGTCAACCCAGATCACCCACACCCACACCCACCCCACATACACACCACATGGGGTCAGCTCCAGAGCTCTAAGTATTCCTGGCAGTCAGTTTTGGCATCTCTATGGGCCAAAAGAATGAGGTCACTTCACCAATGAAGTCACCACTGCATGATTCATCTGACATTAGTTCTCCACTTGGAGTGCTCTGACATTCCCAGAGCTTCTCCTAGAGCATCCAGAACTCAGAGACCCTGTGAGATAAATATTTATAGATGGGGAAACTGAAGCCCAGAGATTGAAGTGACATGCTCAAGGCAACACTGCTAATCAGTGTCAAAGCTGGGACCAAATTCAGCTCTCCTGGTTGGCCCTCCTGTAACTCCTTAACCTCCTCTCTAGACCCCCCTTTTAGAATACTGGTCCTGAACAGTTGGTCCTGCCAGAAAAGGATGGGGCAAGCCCTCCTCTCCTTCAGAGACCAGCTTTAAACCAAAATTTGACCTCAAGACACTGCACTGCCTCCCTTAACCTGCCATTCAATATATACAAACCGTCTTCCAGATTCCTTGCAGCTAAAGCAGCCACAATGCTAACACTCACGCTCAGACACAAAGGCCAAAGGGCGGGGCCTGGGGTGATGATCAACGTTAATCTGCCAGGAACTGGAAATAATTCCTGAAGTCTTCCTTGGAGAGAGGAAGTCGATTCCGGGTTTGACTCCAGTCCGGGAAAGTGAGGAATGTGAATGTAAGAGTGAGAATTTTCCAAAGTGTGCCCCAAGTCCTCGAGCGCTGGGAGTAGCTGGAAGCGTCTAAAATAACCACCTCACCTCCGATGTCTCAGCTTACTACTCACCTGCAACCTAAGGGAGATGGTCCTCTGACCTCCGCGCTGCCTCTCAGCACAGCTTTTATCTAACGCTGTGAATCGATTAAAGGAAGCCATTTATCTCCCGTCAGCAAGCTGGGGGAGGGGAGCGGTGTCAGCGTGGTGCGCACCCCTGCCCCAGCGCCCAGTGTTCAAAGCTACGCTCTTGGCCAGTGAACAGGACCTGGCCAGACGTGTGTCTCCACGCTTTACCAGATAGAGGGGCAGGGGTTGCCACCTTTTAGAGCGCGAGTGTGTATCAGTTCTCTGGGATTACAACCGAATACCTTCCAGGGACACTGGGGACGGAAAGGGGGCCTCGGAGAATGTCGCCTCCAGGGGGAGCACAGGTACATTTGCGTGGCCCAGAGCCGATGGGGGTCTCCCTTTTCTGGCTGGCTGGGGGGATGCTTTAGTCACCAGTTTCATAGTAAATGATTCAAGCGCTTGCTGTGAAAGGCGCGGGGTGGTGGTTCAGGGAACCAAACAATACGCCAGGAGTCCCTGCTATCCACCTCAAGGACCACCATCACCCTTCCTCCATCATCCTGCGCGCCTTTTAAATTAAAAAACGATCTTTTAAAAACCCTCTTGGCCTTTCTTCCTGATTTCTAGTTCCGTTGTGCACTTAGAGGCCGATAGGATGGCTTTTGCTTTCTGGGTGGAGTTTAAATATATATGTATAATTTTGCATGACTATTGCGTCATCGTTCAAGTCGTCGTGGTTCCCCAAAGGGCCTCCTAGTCTTCTCCCAGCATCTGGGCCTGTGGACGCTTCCGGGCGCTGCGGGCACTTTCGCGAGGAGCCCTCAGCCCCCTCCCCCAGCCTCACCTTCCTCCCCCTCCCTCCTTCTCGGCTCCTCCCTCTCGCCCCCTCCGCACCGCCCTCACCGGGAGTCGAGCTAGGGCGGGCGGGCGGGCAGGGACGCTCAGCGGCGGCTGGCAGGGCGCGGAGCGGGGGTGCTGAGCGGGCGCGGGGCGGGCGGCCGCGCTGGGGGGAGGCGCCTGGGTCCGCCCTCCGCGGGGCCCAGCCGGGAGGGGGCCCGGCCGGCGCGGGGCGGGGAGAGCCGCCTGGCCCCTCCCCTCCGCTGCCCTCCCCAAAGTTGCAGTCTCCCCCGAGGCCGGACAGTCTTATGATCCGGCGGATCCTCCTGGGGAGGCCGGGCCGGGGAGAGGGCGCGGGCGCCGAGCGGCGGGGGCACCGGACGGGCACTGCTACTGGGGCCGGGGCGGGGATCCGGGCAGCGACCGAGGCGGCGGCAGCGCCCCGGGCCCGCCGCCTCCTCCCCTCCTGCGAGGGGAGCCGCTGCATGGGGCCGGGGGGACGGCCGTGCTGCGCTGAGCGGCGGCGACGGCGGCGGACCCCCCCGGCGGGCTGGGGCTGAGCCCGGGGCCGGGGCGGGGGCTCCGGGGGGACCATGCCCGGAGGCCGGCCGGCCGCAGCATGGCTCACGGGCCCGGCGCGCTGATGCTCAAGTGCGTGGTGGTCGGCGACGGGGCGGTGGGCAAGACGTGCCTACTCATGAGCTATGCCAACGACGCCTTCCCGGAGGAGTACGTGCCCACCGTCTTCGACCACTACGCAGGTAAGCCTTGGAACTGCTGACTAAGGGGCCGCTCCCCGGGCCGGGAACTTTAGAGCAACTTTGGCGGACCCCCTCGCTACCTCCCCTGAGCGTGCTTCCCTCCCCTCCCCCGCCGCGCCCTCTGCCTGGCGGCGGGCCCCACCCCCGCGGCTTTGCTTCTGGCACTCTTTTGCCTCGGATCCACCTCCTCCTTCTTCTACCCCCTCCCCGCCCCTACTGAGCGCCCTGGGCCGACCTCAGTGACCTTCCGTAGCCTCCTCCCCTATTTCCCCAAGCCCCTGGGGGAAACATTTGGGAGGCCCGGGAGAGAAGTGGGTACGGGACCTGGGGTGGACAACTGGGACCACATCACACACCGACCCCATGTCACTTCGCGGTGAGCTGGGCTCAAGGGGAAAAGGGGTGACATTCCCCTCCAGCAGGGTTAAGAGAGGAGGGTCCTGGTGGGGAGCGAAATTGCCCCGGAGTGCAGGTCATTGTGAGCTTCTCTCCCCGCCCCCACTTCTGTCCTTGCAGTCAGCGTCACCGTGGGGGGCAAGCAGTACCTCCTGGGACTCTATGACACGGCCGGACAGGTGAGTGTCTTGGCCTCTGGCTGGCACCCCCTTCCCTTTCCCCAATTCTGTGTGGCTGCAAAGGGCTTCTGGAAAACTGAGGTGTCTAGGTGGGAGGATGTTTCTCTAAGGGGCTCCCTCTGGATTAGGTCTTTATTCCTTTTATCAAGTCAGCAAATTAGGAAAACAAAACAAACCAGCCAACCCAGACCAGCCCACCTAGGTGAACCCCTGGGCCGGGAAAGTTTTTGCCTGTGGTCCTGTGTGGTGCCTGGTGTATGGGTCCCAACTCCTGTTGCAAAGTGGCAGCAACCAATCATGAAGCGCCCTTATTTTTAGTTGCTGATGACCAGGTCTCCCCCTCACAGCCTCTGTCTGGTCCCTCATTGGTGAGTGGTCTGCCTGCCCGAGGAGCCTGATTGGTGGGAAATGGCATCATCTAATATGATGGGAAGGCATTTGGTCCTGGTTATGTTTATTACAACATCATTGCACTCTGGGACTCCAGTCTCTGAAAACATCATTTGTGGTGTTACCAGAGGACCACAGGGAAAAAAGACAAGAAACAACAACCATCTAGTCGCTCCCTGGGGTGGATATGGGGAAGGAAGGGTTAGGAGTTGAGTGTGAATCTTGAAGGAAGAGGATTCCCCCACCCCCAAAAAGGCCAGGTGACTTTGTCTGGATTTTCTCTGGGAGAGATTATTGTGCAGAAAGAAAATGTACACTTCTCTGTGCAGCCTCCTGCTAGTGTTTGCAAATCAGTGGTCACCAGGCTGTGTTCCTAAAGGATTAGATCTTCTCATTGTCTTACTGTCCCAGCTTCAACCTCTTTCCAGATGCAGTTTTGCTCTGGGCCTAAGATGATTGTGTGTGATGAAATTTGTAGAATAAAGAGCTGTGATTAGACTTGAGGACTTAGGTAGAAGTTTGCACGTTATGCAGATTGCAGTCCTAAGGGACCCAAAAGGCTTAAAGGAGCAGCTGAAGGGATTAGAGAGGGTCTTTGAGAGAAGTTCAGTAATAAGAGTTTCCTTACCTGTGAAATGGGCTGGGCACAGTGGCTCTCACCTGTGTAATTTTAGCACTCTGGAAGACCAAGGCAAGAGGATTGCTTGAGATTAGAAGTTTGAGACTAGCCTAAACAAGAGAAAGACCCCAATCTCTATAAAAAATAGAAAAAATTAGTCAGTTGTGGCATGCACCTGTAGCCCCAGCTACTTGGGAGGCTGAGGCAAGAAGATCACTTAAACTCATGAATTTGAAGTTGCAATGAGCTATGATGATGCTACTGTACTTTAACCAGGGCAACAGAGTGAGACCTTGTCTTAAAAAAAAAAAACCAAGACCATCTTCAGAGGCAGATATTGTATGCCAAATGCTTCACACACCAAATGCCTGATAAAGGGAATATTGTTCTATTTAGCTTGTCTACACTTGGATTTCTGAATTGTTAAGAGTCTAGGTTGAATTCTGAAAAATGTCTTGTTGGTAGGGAAGATTATTTACTTAATGGTGATCTCTGGTTTCTAAACTATTAAGTTAGAGGAACATTTGAAGGTAGAGGCTTGCTGGCACTTCAAGGTGCCTGAGGTCACTGCCTCTTACCAGACTGGCCCAGGTCAGTATGGTCAGTTCTCAGCTTTCTTGAGCCCCTTCTGGTTGCCTGCCCTCTAATTACTATTCATCACAGCAAATGAAGAGCAGAAGACAGAACTCACACAATCAAATGAGACTGACTTTTAAGTAGTACATTGATCAACAAGAGGTTAACATTAGTGATTAAAAAGAGGGAGGTTTTTAAAAATTGCCTCTATTTTAACTTCTCTCACTCCTCTCCTTCCTTTAGCTCCTTTGCTTGTCACTGTGATAAGTTTGACCCCAGTTCCTATTCAATAGGACATGTATAAGTCAGAGCTGTTCTGAGCACATTTAAACTTTACTGATATTTACTGAGTTCTTTCTACATATCAGGCATGGGGAAGCCACACGCAAATATTATTTACAACATAAAATAACCCCATGAGATAGGTAGTATTCCATTTTTGCAGATGAGGATACAGGTTTAGAAAAGCTAGGTTATTTTGCCTGAGGTACTTGGGGGTGTTGCTGGGATGAGGATGAGAGTCTGAATCTCCTGTCAGTAGAGGTGGTTATACACACAGGAAGCCATGGGAATGCTGAGCTGCCAGTGGGTTAATTGGATTGTTTACATGCCCATAGACCAGTGGTTCTCAACCTTCCTAATGCCTGATCTATTTGCATTGTTACAAATGGGTCACCACCCACAGGTTGAGAACCACTGCCATAGATGAACCTGAAATTTTCATAGCCGTTCTCTGAGTGCATGTTGTATGTAACCTCTACAGAGGAGAGAACTTAGGTCAAAAGAGTTACCTGCAGTAGAATCTACTCACAAAATGCTTTCCATGTATCATCATAATTACCCTTTCTGGTGGAGGATCATAGGTATATACCAAGCAAGACCAACATATTAGTAAGTCTCAAGTACTATTCTTTTTCCCAGTGGTGTGACTCCTACTCTATTGGTCAAGATGTATGTTAGGCCCCATTGGTGTTTCTCCTAGCATCTAAGACTTTTATTTTTGGATCAAAGTAAGTGATTTTTTTTTTGGTCTCTTTTTCTTAGACATTGTGTCTTGCTCTGTTGCCCAGGCTAGAGTGCAATGGTATCATCAGAGCTCACTACAGCTTCCTCGTGTGCTCAAGTAATCCTCCTGGCTCAGCCTCCCAAGTAGCTGGTACTGTAGGCATGCACCATCATGCCTGGCTAATATTTTAATTTTTTTGTAGAGACATGGGTATTGTATATCACCCAAGCTGTTCTTGAATTCTTGGCCTCAAGTGACCCTCCTACCTTGGCCTCCCAAAGTCCTGGGATTACAGGCATGAGCACCATGTGTGGCCAAACTTAGTAATATTTCATCTTTCAGCAGTTGAGGGATTATTACTAATGAGACCAAATGATAAGTGCTCACCATATACCTTGTACCTACTGTTAAGCACCTGAAGAGTGCAAATGAATAAATCTAAGATGGTGATCTACCACTGCTGATGTCAGCATAGGTAGAAGTGTCTGGCTCAGATGCCTGTTCACATGTGTTGTGTAGGAGATTCTTGTGCACTTGGTCTTTATTAGGACCCTGTGCCTCTATTAATCCATATCAGATTCATCTTACAACAATAATGATAAATAAATGAATACATACTCATACAAATATGTAAAAATTCTTAAGCCTGATAATGCGACAGAGAAAGGCCCACAGGCCTTGGAACTATATAGGCTGGCGCTCAGATCTCTACCTTGCTGCCCTAATCATGTGATTCTGGCTAGATTATCTACCTTCTTTGTGATCTAGTAAAAATGTATATAATTAGAATTTATAATGTAAGGTCGCAGGCTGGCTGAAATTCTTTAACATACGTAAAAGCAGCTGATACTTCTTCATGCTTGATAAGTCTGTAATAATTATTACAAGAAATTATTGTACTTCACTATGGGCAGTTTTATGAGGAGGAGTCAGAGATGACAAAGGACAGTGTAGCATGCCTGGTGTTGATAGAAATTCTGCTAGAATGCTAGATCTTAGGACCTTTATGACAGAGGTCTGGAGCCAGTCTTGCTCTTTATAAATTCCCCCAGTTGCCATTGTTGGACCCATGGGCCCAAGCCAAGTGTTCCCTGCCATCAATGCCCTGTTCTGTCAGATGGCTTTCTGTCTTAACCAGAGCCTGCATCTCCACTTGATAAAAAAGAAGTAGCTCAGAGTTCTGTGCAGAATTTGAGAAGCATGCAGGGTATGTAGCATTCAGTTGGTTCTCGTTTCAGAGAGGTAAGATGTGATGAGGAGGAAGCTTACAGCTTTGGAAAGCAGTTGCCTTCTGCCCAGAATGTTTGTTCGTGCATGTGGGTACTCACTGTATTTGAATAACTGCAAGGGTGCCTCCCTCTGGTTGGAACCTAAAGCCTGCTTTCTCACTCTTGGCCTCCTTCCCAGTGAAGTTCAAAGCTGCAGGCATTATTTGTCCAATTTACATATTTGGGAATCTACCAGTCATGGGATGATTGTTGTAGATGACCTTTGGCCTTCTAGAGCAAGCTGCTGTCCACTTGACCTCTAGAGAGAGAGAGAATTGGAGTGAGAGTGTTGGACGTCAGTCCCCATCATGTGCTCTGCCTAGGGACATCCCCCAACACCCCCAGCACACTCACTAGCACCAGCAGTGTTGCCAAAGGGAAGCCTTCCCTCCCTTTGTTAGCCAAGCCCATGGGTGGTCCAGGAGCAGTGTGATTGCCAAGCATTTTGGAGTGGAAGTTGACAGCTGGGCCTCCTTCCTCCTCACTGGAGGGGGGGCGCTCGCGTGTCTGTGTGTGTGTGTGTGTGTTGGTGGGGAGAGTTGGCTTCCTGCCTGGGCCTGTGTGGAGCTTCTCCTTTCTAGCCCAGCTTTCAGGACTTCAGTGCAGGCTCCGCAGCAGCCCCTTGTCTGCTCAGGCAGGAACAGGAGATGAGATTTTTCCTACTGCCTCTGCACTGTGTGGTGCGAAGGGGAAGAGGGAAGAGCTCTCCTGCTGTCGGCACAAGTTGGTGGGGAGCTGCCTGGCAGGCTGCTCTCTAGCTGTGGGCTCTCGGCTGATCCCTTAATCCTTGGCAGGAAGGCAGAACTTGATACCCTGAGGAGGGAAGGACTAGAGCCCAGTTTATATGGGTCCCAGAATATCCACTGAGGAGGATATGTGTGGGGGGTGAGTTTGGGATCCCTAGAGTTCCAGATTTAGCCACAGTATCAGTGTGTGGCGGTCCACATGTATGCTTTTGGTGTACTGTTGCCATGTCCATTAACTTAAACATATAACTTCAGGGACACATCTAAGAGAACTACAAATACTCTTTACTCCGGTGTCTCCTGGGGTTACTTTTTCAATGGCAAGTGAGATTTGTTTCACACTTGACATAACCTAGCAGCTGTGGCTGCCCTGCAAGCCCGCTGGGTGACCTGGG